AAAGCAATACTGATCTTTCTAAAAAACAATTGGGCAATATAAATCAAGAGTTTGAATAACGCCTGTCTGTATTCTGTGGGGAATGGTTATAAAAAAAAAATAATCAGGGGTGTGGACATAGATTCAATATAAAGATGTTTATCAAAGTGTATTTACAATAGAGAAAATACTTTAAAAAGATCTAAGTGCCTCACAATAAGAAAATAAGTATGGTCGCTTTATATGAAGAAATATTACACAGCCATTAAAAACCATGTCTAGCCCTAGCTGGTCTGGTTCAGTGGATAGAGAGTCAGCCTTCGGACTGAAAGGTCTGGAGTTTAATTCCCACAAGGGCACATGTCCAGGTTGCAGGCTTGATCCCCAGTAGGGGGTGTGCAGGAGACACCTGATCAATGATTCTCTCTCATCTCATTGATGTTTCTATCTCCCCTCTCCCTTTCTCTCTCTCTAAAATCAATAAAAACATATTTTTAAAAAGCATGTCTGAAAAATTACAATAATATTAATACTAAATTATAATAATATTAAAACTGAGAAGCAGTCATTAGTAAAAAATTAAGATATCAAACTTCACATATTCTATGATTGTGATCATCTAATGTTTATGCATAGAATAAATACTGAACGAAAAGACAGTGAGTTATATTGGTAGTGATTGCTGGGTGGTGCTGATTCTATTTTATTCTCCTCGTTTTTCTATATTTTCCATAATTTTTTATGATGATCTTGTGTTAGTTTGATAACCATAAAAATAATAATGTAAATGAAAGTTATCATGTCAGATTTGTACAAAGCTCAGTACAAGGTAAGAAGCCATGGAATACAAGCTGCTCTGTATACATAGTTCTTAAAAAAAGAGGCCCCATACCAAAACCAGTTTGGCTCAGTGAATAGAGCATCAGTCTGCAGACTGAAAGGTCCCAGGTTTGATTCTGGTCAAAGGCATGCATGTACCTTGGTTGCGGGCACATCCCCAGTAGGGGGTGTGCAGGAGGCGGCTGATTGATGTTTCTCTCTCATGGAGTTTCTAGCTCTCTATCCCTTTCCCTTCCTCTGTAAAAACTCAATAAAATAGATTAAAAAAAAAAAGGTCCCCATATTATATTCACCCAGATTCTCAAAAGCCCTCCAGGGTGAGGAAAATGCCCTGATGAGCCCTGGAAGTGTAAACCAGTCTAGGCCTTCTCCCGGACTGAGGACGCATCCTCCATAGTTAGAGGCTTACAGAATAACCTCTGTAAAGCATGCATCTGCCTAACCCATAAGACATGACCTGGCAAGACACTTTCAGTCAAATCTGAACGAGGGGCAGGGGCCCCAGGTAACACGTGCGCCCAGAACATGCCTGACAGGTGCAAACAACGCCGCTCATCTAAATATAACCCGACTCAGGCAGTTGGGAAAATCTTTCCCTCTTTCTATTCTCATCGGGCACAAGAATGTGCTCTTTTTTAGTTCCGACCCTTGGTTATTTTTATTTAGATTTGCTCTGCACTACTTTTTATTCCAGGAGAAGCAATGTTATCATGTTTTCTAAGAATGGAAAAAACAAAACTATTTTTCTTCCAAAATCTTGGCTGACGGTAGGACCTCAGTTTGGGCTGTCTTTGAAATGTGTTACATTGAAAAGGAGATAAGACATGAACACTATTTTTAAAACAACGTTCTGGATGAGTACAAAGCTGATGTTAACACATGCCTACAGAAACGATGTTTTACTTAGCAGAGAGGAAATTCTTTAGGGGAAGATGGAGAGCTCTGGGCCTTTGCCAATTGCTGCCATGCTCTCTCCATTACCCCTAAACTCTGACTCCCCCTTCAGGATGCTGCTCAATGGTCACTTCTTCACTAGCTTTCTTTGACCTTCCCCTCTCTCACCCCCACCTCCACGGCTGCACATGCACCGCCCTCTTGCTAGCTCCCAACACACGGAGATTTACCTTCCATGCATTTAGCCTACATTGCTATTTAATCGCAGAGCTTCTTGACAGTAAGATAGTTTTCATTTTTTCCATCTCTAGCACCCAGATTTATGGTAGTTATTCAATAATGAATGTTATTGAATGAATGAAATGTGTAAGAAGGGACTGAAGGACTCACCAATAAGCCCACATTGAGAGAAGAAAAGACAGTGCCACCACTAATAGACCCCAAAAAGAACAATTTATGGGAAAATAATAATGATCATACAATGCTAGTCTTTTTTATTTATTTGAGGAGGGGATGGTTGCCTTATGAAATGAAATTAAAACTAAAATGCCAGATATGATAAAAAGGAGTTTGGTATGCATTGGCTAAAAGGTTGAAATGATCCATTTTCACTTTCTTTCTGCTATAAAATGAGAAGATGAGGCAAGATCTCCATGTCCAAGGGCCAGCCCAGCCGTCAGGTTCCGGGCTCTGGGACTGCCATGCATTCTGCTGGAACAGTCCTCCAGACCTTGTACCCCAGATCCATTCTGAAGGCAAACGAAACTGTGCTCTTTTCAAACTCAGAGGTGCCACACTCCTACCTACCGAGACTGCGGTGTGCCACGACTAAGTTTAGCCCCACTCTCCTGGTCTGAAATAGCCACCGAAACCACAGGGGAAATTATTACCCACGGTTTCCTAGATCTATGCAAGGAAGACGCTTCCAAACCCGAATGCCGTAAAATTGTATTTACTTGTTCCAACTTCTTCCCAGTTTGGTGCGGATCACCCTTTGCCTGCACACATTTTGCAATACCTGTTGGCTCTTTCTCTTTGCCCACTCCGTTAGCATGCTCACTACGCTCGAGAAATGCAGCCAACCCTTGGCTTAATAAATCTTCAACCCACTCATCAGCTAATAAAGGGGGTTTAGGATTGGGAAAGGGAGTATTGCACAGAAGCTTTATTTGCCAACCGCTTACCAACAGCTGATTTCGCAGGTGGTCCTTTATCAGATTTGCCCACTGAAAGAGAAGAAGAGGAATAACGATTGCCCTTCAACAGGAGACTATGCCTGGGGGAACTCTGTAAGCTGAAGGCCTGTATTGGATTACTGTAACCGACTAGCGTTTTAGTCTTAGATCCCTAGTAAAATTAGGATGTGCTCTTCTATCCCTGAAAGCAGAATTTCCCCAAAACCACATTCAACGTAATGAATTTTCATGAACTAATTATATCCAAGGTAAAGGACCTTACTTTGGGATTACATCCTTCCTGTGTTCTGTTGTTATTGCAGTTAAAAAGAACTTTAAAAAAATAAATAAAAGGATGGTAACAGAAGATGGTAAGTTGTGGTGTTTTTTTTAAGTATATTTTATTGATTTTTACAGAAAGAGGAAGGGAGAGGGATAGAGTTAGAAACATCGATGGGAGAGAAACATCGATCAACTGCCTCCTGCACAGTTCCTACTGGGGATGTGCCACAACCAAGGTACATGCCCTTGACCGGAATAGAACCTGGGATCCTTGAGTCCGAAGACCGATACTCTATCCACTCAGCCAAACTAGTTAGGTTGTGTGTGTGATGTGTGTGTGTGTGTATGTTTAATTTAATGTCATTACTTGGCACTTTAAAAAGTTGGCACACATCTATCACCTTCCAAAAGTCATTAACATTAGGAAGCTAGGATCCTCAGCCCTAAAGTGACCTACTCAAAGCTGATCCATCATAAAGGGGATTATATAAATGTAAATTTGTTATCCTCAGAGGAGAGGAGGGGCTTTCGGTCTCTTGGAATCTCATCATTCTCTATAACATAGACATAGATCATGGAAGCCCTGTAGGTCCAGGTCATTTTTCTTTAAATCTTTATTGTTGAAAGTATTACATATGTCCCCTTTTTCACACCACTGACCTCTTCTAGCCTGCCCCTGCCCCCTGCCCAGGGTTTCATACTCTATTGTCTTTGTCCATGAGTTATGCATGTATGCATACAAGTTCTTTGATTGAACTTTTCCCACCCACCTCCTCCTCCTTCCTCCAGATCATTTTTATAACAGATTCAAGTCAGGTAATTTCCTCTAAAATACACCTACCTGAGAAACCCTCAACTATATACACGCAGCACTCTGTGAGAATGGTTTAGTCCTTTGCCCCAATATCAACATTATTTCTTAAAAAAAAAAAAAATTGTACTATATTCCTTCCACAGTAATACCTAGACCATGACAGGCACAAAGCATGCATCCAAGAATTGTGTTTTTGTTTTGTGGGGTGTTTGTGTGTGTGTGTGTGTGTTTTAATATATTTTTATTGATCTCAGAGAAAAAGGAAGAGAAACATCAATTATGGATGGGCCGCCTCCTGCACTCCCCCACTTGGGGATTGAGTCCACAACCCTAGCACGTGCCAGGACCAGGAATCAAACCATGACCTCCTGGTTCATAGGTCGAAGTCCAACCACTGAACACCATCATCTGGGCTCAAGAATTGTTCAGACCCTCTCTCGGGATCTGGGAATAGCTAACCCAAAGAAAGGCCACCTAACTAGCCAGGAAATTCAAGTCTTTCCTCGGGGCTCCCCCGGTCCCCGCAGGTGGTAGGGGAAGTCACGTCCTCTGTGAACCCCGCAGCTGAAGTGCAGATGGAGGCGGGCCAGCGGGAAAGTATGGAAAGGTCTGTCCCGCTAGGACGGTGCCTGAAAGAGGAAACTTCATGAACCCTTCGTGCCCGGGCCTCCTGCTGCCATGGGGGGATGCTCTTATGCAGGAAAATGCCTCTGCCCCCGACGCCTGCTCCCCGGCTTCTGATAAAACAGCGACCCGCCGCCTGCCCCGAGGCCCCATCCCTCCCCTCGCGCGGGGGGTCACGTGGCGCCCCTGCCATTGGCCGCTGCTCGGGGCCCCGGCACACCCATTGGCTGCGGGAGGCGCTCACGTGGAAGGGGGTCTGGGATGGCACCCCGGGACGCGAGAGGTGGCCCGAAAGTTAGTTAAAGGGAGCGGCGCGGCGGCCGGCAGCCGGAGTCCCGGGCGGCGGCGGCGGGCCGTGGGGCGGCGAGCGGGCTCCGGGCGCGGACGGACGGATGCGGCTGCCGGTGGAGGGCACGGACCTGAGCCTCGGGCCGCGCTCCTGCTGCCGCTCCGGCTGCCCCCGCCACCCCGGCACCAATGCGGCCGCGGGCTGGAGCCTCTGCGCCGCGGGGCTTATGAGCTGCACCAGGTACGTGCTCCCCACGGCCTGGCCTGGCGTCCGAGCGCGGGGGCCTGGGGTTCCTGCCACCTGCACTCCCGCCGTCCAACTTGCAGCTGCGCTCCGGGGTGCAGCGCTCCATCCACACGGGCGCCGGGCAGCTGTCGATCCACGTGGAGCGGGCAATCCGGGGGCCAGAGGTGGGATGGGACCTGCCGGGACCCTACGTGCTCCCCCGAGGTGCGGGCCCCGAGGCTGGGGTTGGGACTTCGGGTACCCTTGCCCTCCGTTGCCCCTGCAGAGTGTCTGCGGAGCTGGGCGATGGGGTCTGGAGCCCAAAGAAAAGTCGCTTCTTCTCTCCCAGGGTCCCGCCTCCCCGTCAAACTCTAGGGAACACACTTTGTAGGGTCTCGGGCCGCCCAGAGAGAGGAGACAGAGCCGCCGCGTCCACCCTGTCCGCTGGCCGCGGCTCCCCAGGCTGGGGCTGTCCCGAGGCGGCCGCGTGGGGGCGCTCGCGCGGCGCGGCGCGGCGCGGGCCGGGGTTCCCCTCCACCCCGCCCCGGGATCGCAGTTTGGGCTCCTCCTCCCTCCTCCTCCGCGAACGGAGCGCAGAGCGCTGGCGGCGGCTGCCCCTGCCACCTCCCTCCGGGCTCTCCGATGCAGCGCCGAGCGGGCTGGGGAGGGGGCTGCTGCCCCGCGGCCTCCCAGGTAGGTGCCCCGACAGACAAAGGAAGGCCTTCGAGGGGGTGGGGGTGGAGCTGGGTCCGAGCCAGGGATCCGGGTCCTGGGGACCTGGAGACTCTAACAGCCTGGACGCTCCTGAACGCTCCGCTTCTTCAGAACGCAGAAAAGGGGGTGTGGACGAGACTCTGCACAAGAGGTGAGACAGAGGGCCTAGCAGGACTTGGTAGGACATTTGGGGGCCTGTCGTGGCATTGTTTCCTGCAGAAGGGAAGAAATTTGAGGGAAAGGCTTGATTTGGGAGCGTGGAGCGTTGCTAGAAGTTGTTGGAGCTTGTGGTTTGTGTGGCCGGGCCTCCCTGGGAGGCCGGAGGTGCAGAGAAGAGAGCGCGAGGGCTTTGAGCTTGTGGGGTTGTTTTCTTTTGTTTGTTTGTTTGTTTTTTGTTTTGTTTTTGCCCAGGAGCCAAGAGTAAAGGAAGGCAGCTAGAGGCCTTACCACAAACATTTTAAGTTGAGATATTTGGGGAAAGTTCGTAGGAAGAGAACCATCAGGCATTATCAGTAACCGTGAGTGTTAGAGCCAGCCGGCAGGGGCCTCCGAGGACAAAGCTGGAGCCCAGAGAGGTTGAGTGACCTGCAACAGGTGGCACAGCGGGGTGGACGCACGCCGAGGCCAGGACTCTGTGTGTCACGTGGGACATGCAGCCGGCAGGGACTGTGCCATCTTAACTTATCTCTTTTCTTAATATGCTGCCTCGCCCACCGATAAGCATCTCAAAGACGCTTTGGGTGTTAGTGACAGAATAGAATACAAGTGGCATGCATGGCCCTGGAATAAGGGCCCCGTGATGGGAGTACAAAGAGAGCGATGTCAACTTTATTCTCACTGTGTCCATTGAACCTTTTGGGAGGGGATAAAGGAGTTGATGACTGGGTCTTTTAAGAATTATAATCTGTTGCAACTGCTTACCTAATGTTTTGGTGTTCCTGGGGTGAAGGGAAGGGGGGATGATTGGTGCATCTTATTTTTTCTGCTTTCCAGTACTTACAAAAGTACAAGAGAATGGAAAGAGAAATGTCTTGCCGAAACCGGTTTGGCTCAATGGATAGAGCATCAGCTTGGGGACTGAAGGGTCCCGGGTTCGATTCCGGTCAGGGGCATGTACCTGGGTTGCGGGCATATCCACAGTAGGGGGTGTGCAAGAGGCAGCTGATCCATGATTCTCTCTCATTGATATTTCTAACTCTCTATCTCTCTCCCTTCCTCTCTGTAAAAATTCAATAAAATATATTTTTTAAAGAAAAGAAAGAAAGAAAGAAAGAAAGAAAGAAAGAGAAATGTCTTGGCCTCAATACAAAAAAAAATTTTTTTTCTTAATTATTTACTATAAAAGGCATAACCAGAAAGTCAGTAGGTCAGCTTCCTGAAACTATGAAGGTCATGGGGTTATTTTCTGTGCAAGCCTATAGTTTTCGCAAGAGCAATCACCATGACGTCTGGCCCTAGCCAGCTTGGGCTGGTGGTGTGTAATTTCCCCCTCGTGGGGCAGGGGGAAAAGCCTTGATGCAAACCTGCCCGTGTCCTCTGGTTATTGCGGAGGTTTAGGGTTTGCCCCCGTTTGGCCAGGAACACTGAAATCTATCCTTGGGCATGGCCCAGTCGGGCATCTTTCGGAAGCAAAAGTTTTTGAGCAACCATACTGGTCGGAGCAACAACTGCTGATGCTCTCTCGATCCTGTCCTGCAGTGAACTGGTCTCCAGGTCCTAGGCGCCCTGCTGGGTCAAAGGTGTGTCTTCTCGGTCTGGTTTCCCCCCTGGCCAGCCTTGGTTGCCCATATTCCCTAGTCTGGGGGAGGGAAAGGGCTGGAGCAGCAGGACAGGGGTCTGGGGTACAGCCGGGAGCGTCCTGCATTGGCACTGATCATTTCCATGCCTCTTGGAGATAGAAGTGCCTGTCCAGGTGCTTCCTGTCTGGGGCGTAGGGGACTATTACCTTGCATATCTGTTGCTAGAACTACTTCTGTGTGATGGTCATTCCTGTCACCATCCATTGGAGAATTCCTGGGGTGATTGATTCTTGGAGAATGCTCCAGTTAATACAAATTGGAATCTGCGTGTGAGGACAGGCAACATGGCCGAGAGTCACATCGTACCGAGATTGAGGCCTCACCCCCAGTGATGGTGAGACGGAGAGACTGATGAAGGGATTCGGGTCAGGGGTTGTTTGTGCAATGCTTCTGGGGCAGCGACCCCTGGGTCAAAAGGTAATTAACCTCCCTTTTGCTTTTCGTGGAAAAATGTTGCAATAAACCGATTGGGCTCTGGAAGGTGCCAGGGGGATTGTTTAATGAGCTCTGGCTCGGGCTGGATCCCTGGCTCTCCTTGTTCTTATAGCTTTAGTAGGAAAAGGGATCTCGGGCAGATTTCACTTACCCTGCTGGGTCCAAACAGTGTAACTTTCCCGAACCTTCATTCTCTGACTGATCCCCCTATGTTAGGATCCAGTTTACACAAGATCTTGAGAGTTTCCCAACCTTTCTCGAGTGAACTGATGGACTGTCTTAGCGCCGTGCAGGAAAGCACGTAGGAGGCTGGTGTGCAGGCTCGCTGGCTGGGCAGAGAGCACTTGCGGCTGACCTTGTGCTGACTCAGACAAGGAGGAAGCGGCTGTGGCCAAGGAGGAACTCTTTCCTCCCCCTGCTCATGCCCAGGTTGTCAACGGTGGACAGAGTGGGAGGGGCTTTGCTCCTGTTCAGGTTTTTATTCTCTCTCTCTCTCTCTCTCTCTCTCTCTCTCTCTCTCTCTCAAACCCACTGCCTGTGTTGAAGTTAAACTGAAGGTGTGATTCCAGTACACACTAACAGTTTTGCAATGGGCAGAGGGGGGGGGCGGATTAAAATGCAAGTACTTTGCAAGTTTCAGTGTTTGTTTGTTTGTTTGTTTGTTTTCATTGAACCCGTTGGTCAGCACTCTTAAAGTCATCTTGCCCAATTGAGTCAGAATTCTCCTTTCTAGAACAATTGCGAGGCCATAAGAACAGATAACAGAAAGCAAATGGACCCTGTAATTTTCACTCCTCTGACCTTGTAAGAGAGGAAACAGGAAGACAAATAACCCTTTAAAAGTGAATGTTGAGGGGGTCGGTGGGAATTGATCCACCAAAGAATTGTATGCACATATGCATAACCCATGGACACAGGCAATAGGCTGGTGGAGGCCTGGGGGAGGGGGCAGGGATGGGCTAGAAGGGGTCAGTGGTGGGCAAAAAGGGGACATATGTAATCCTTTCAATAATAAAGATTAAAAATAATAAAATAAATGTCTAGAGAGCTACATTATGGCTAGTAATTATTGTCTTATTTTTCTCTGAACGTGTGTGTTCCTCCAGTTGGTCATCGCTAAGTGCCTGCTACATCCTAGGGAAGTACTGCCATTCTTTTGGAAAATAGGATCGAGCCCACCCTGTCTCTGGCTTTCCCATTTTTTGTTATTATCTTTTTTAAAAATTATTTCTTAATTGATTAAGGTATCTCATATTTGTCCTCAACCCCCCATTCCAATCCCCCACCCCTCCCCACTCATGCCCCACCCCCCTATTGTCCTTGACCACTGGTTAGGCTCATATGTGTGCACATAAGTCCTTTGGTTGATCTCTCCCTTTTATCCCCACCCTTCCTTTGAGGTCCAACAGTCTGGACCCACGGCTCCTTATCTCCTGGTCTGTTCTTGTTCATCAGTCTCTATCTCTGATTAATGTGGACCACGCTTGAGTTAATGCTGCACAGCAGCCGAGTGGACAGAGATGAAGAAAAGCAACGTCCGTCTGAATCTCACTGCTGTCTCTTTCTTTCCCCCTCTGCCAGTGTCCTAGCCTGCTCCTCTAACCCCATGATGGCGGTGGACATCGAGTGCAGGTACAGCTGCATGGCCCCTTCCCTGCGCAGAGAGAGGTTCGCCTTCAAGATCTCGCCGAAGCCCAGCAAACCCCTGAGGCCCTGCATTCAGCTGAGCAGCAAGAATGAAGCCAGCGGCGTGGTGGCCCCAGCCGTGCAGGAGAAGAAGGTGAAAAAGCGCGTGTCCTTCGCAGACAACCAGGGGCTGGCCCTGACAATGGTCAAAGTGTTCTCGGAGTTTGATGACCCGCTAGATATTCCGTTCAACATCACCGAGCTCCTAGACAACATCGTGAGTCTGACGACAGCGGAGAGCGAGAGCTTTGTGCTGGATTTCTCCCAGCCCTCGGCGGACTACCTGGACTTCAGGAACCGGCTGCAGGCCGACCACGTCTGCCTGGAGAACTGCGTGCTGAAGGACAAAGCCGTGGCGGGCACCGTGAAGGTGCGGAACCTGGCGTTCGAGAAGACGGTGAAGATCAGGATGACCTTCGACACCTGGAAGAGCTTCACAGACTTCCCCTGCTGCTACGTGAAGGACACCTACTCCAGTTCAGACAGGGACACGTTCTCCTTCGACATCCGCCTGCCGGAGAAAATCCAGTCCTACGAGAGGATGGAGTTCGCCGTGTGCTACGAGTGCAACGGGCAGACGTACTGGGACAGCAACAAAGGCAAAAACTACCGCATCACCCGGGCGGGGCTCACGTCCCCCCAGGGCCCGGCCGAGCCGCGCAACGGGCCCGATCTGGGGATCGCCTTCGACCAGTTCGGGAGCCCTCGGTGCTCCTACGGCCTGTTCCCCGAGTGGCCCAGTTACCTAGGGTACGAGAAGCTAGGGCCCTACTACTAGTGACCCCGTGCGCCGGAGCCCAGCCGAGTGGGTGCGATCGAGCCCAGCTGCAGTCACAGCGGCACGGAGACGGGAAGCCGAGAGAATAGCTGAACTGCCGAGAGGCACACTTTCCGAAAAAGAAAGGATCCTGTTCACTTTTTCCTCCAGCCAGCACGTCCAGCCCGGCTGAGACCACAGAACCAGGGCCACGCTCGGAGCGGCCGTGGCGTGCCGGTCTGCTCGGCACCCGTGGGAGCCACGCGGTGCAGGCAGGATGGTGCCAGGGAGGGTCTGGGCGGGAGCCAGGCCCCTAGGCCATGCTGACGAGGCCAGAGGACGGTGGCTTAGGAACGACGCAACCCAGAGGGGGCCCGGGCTGCGTGGAGGAGGAGGAGTGGCTTAGGAAAGTCAAGGCACTTGAGTGTCACTCCATCCGCAGCCACCGCCCGGCCCCTGGCCACTCTCTGGCTCCCCTCCACCCAGCCAGGCCTTCCTACCTCTTGCTGCTACACATTCTTCACATTTTGTCTCCATGCCCATTTTTTTTTTTTTGGGGGGGGTGTGTGTTTCCTTAGACAGTTCATCCGATGTTCAGGAAAAGATGATAAAGGCAGATCGGCGTGGGAGACAGGCATTTCCTCTCGCTGGGCCCCAGCCGAGAGCAGCTCTCTGTGTGTATTCCGGCCGGCTGTCCGGGCAGCAGTGCGGATCACTGGCTCCCGACAGGCAGGACAGCCGCCAGTGGGACACGTCTCGCTTCTCCTCTTGGCTTTTGAGGGAGCTTTCTAAGCACTCAGACTCCCCCGGAGTCGCCAGAAGGCTCCCTGACAAGGGGGGAGTTTCAACTTGCTCGGTCGGTTGGCAGGCGGCTCGTTCCTTGTACAAGGATTTTATTAGGATCGCCCCTTCTGCAGACTCATCTTTTACACTGTTTTCAAGGACATTTCGGTTGGCAGACCCAGTACGTCCTCAACAGCCTCCCGAAAATGTGTGCTTTTTATTTTGACTGTGGTTTTCAGGACCCGGCACCTTTTACAAGCACCCAGGGACTTGGATGTGGCTGTCCTTGATTTATGGGGTGTGAGGATGTGAAAGGGGCAGAGGAGGAACACCGAAGCTCCCCCGTGTTTGCCGGCTCTGAAACAGCAGGCAGGGACTGCTCTCCACCAGGTTGGACAAAAGACTTAAACGTCTGGTGGGTCATGCGGTTGTGAGACCGCTGGAACTGTCCCTGTCCGATGGCCCCCCAGATCCTGTGATCATTTTGGGGAGAGACTGGTCTGTACGTGGGGATGTTTAAAATATTTTTACATGTGTATTTGTAGAAGGTTTGGGGTTTTTCTGTGTTTTTGTTTTTGTTTCTCTTTTTGAGATTAAATGACTGTCTCGTTTTCCTTTTGCCTGATTTACTAAAGGGAGGTTTTCCTAAGGGAGGCAGGGAGAGGGACGCACAGCTACTGGACTCTGCAGGCAGAGAGTCCCCTTCCGTTTGCATTTTCCAAATCGATCAGGAAACACCTCCCGGCTTCTTCGTAGATCCTGTCGGGCGTCCGGCAGGCATGGAGAGTCTTGGCTCCTGGAGTCTGGTGGGTGGGTGTTTTGTTTTTTGTTTTTTTTTGTTTTGTTTTGTTTTACTTTAAAATGTTTTTGCTTTTTAAACACTCTGTAAGCTGTGTTTGATGTCATTCTTCTTTCTAAAACTGGCTGTTATTAGTCTGCAATCTCGTGCCTTATTGTTCCTGATGCCTCTCCCAGGTGGGCAGAAGGGAATGCCATGACAATGTAATGTATGGGGAAATCACATTTGCTCACGCCGACATGGGGGGCAGAACTGTGTTTGATCCAAGCACGTCTTGCAGCAGGTGCACGGAGAGCGCTTTGTGCTGCGCATCTGGTGGTCAGAGCTATGAAGAGTGTAAATCTACATTGAACGGGAGCAAAGTTTTGATTTTGTGTTAAGAACTCTCCCCGCTCCTCCGCCTCCGTTTCAGGAAAGGTACAAGGTGCGCTGTCCCTGACACGTTCCCCGGCTACGGTGATGAGATCATCCTGTGCTCACAAGAAAGACGCCTCAAGTCGACTTGTGTTTGGCTGTCAGTAACAGTGATCCTAAGGCATTCCTGTGTCAAAATGTGAAATAGGGTAATTCAGTGATAAGTATCTCTTCTACAACAGCCCTAAACCCTCCCTCTCCCCAGATATTTTTGCTGGCGGCTCTGCTTGCACATCCTCCCTCCCCTCTCCCCAGCCAGTGCACCTGGGACACTCACCCCACCGGGCAAGTCCTCACCGGCTTGCAAAGACCCTGCTCTCACTGAGGAATCTGGTTGCCCGACTTCCCTGTCAGCATTGCCATTCAGGGAGGTGGGAGGATCTGGAGAAGACTCTCCTTCTCGCCAGGCAGTCCTCCTACCAGAACAAGAGATGCCTCTTCATGGCCCACCTCCGCCCCCAGGTCTGCACGCCGGAGAAAGGGGCATGGTTCTCCGCTGTAGACGTCCCTGCAACCTGACCTGCAGGTCTGGCCCTCAGACAGCTCTTGGTGGGGATGACACATGGCCTCCAGTCCAGGGTCCTTCCCGAGTCCTCCCCCCACCCCAGAAAGCCCAGCCTCCTGCTGCTGGTGTGGTGCTCCAGGAATGGGCAAGCAGCTCCATTTTGGTTTCCTATTTATTCCCCCCGTGTCCTGGGGAGCACTTGCAAATTAGGTGCAATAAATAAGCTGGACTCTATAAAGGTAGAATAAACAAGCTTTCCGCGTTTCTCGGAAGAGACGAAGCATTTGAGTGGGTTTCTCTCTCTCTCTCCTCTCTTGTTTAATGTTCTTGTTCTATGGGAGCTGGCGAGAAATCGAGTTATGTAGTTCTCTAGAAATTTCAGAATCAAGGTAGAATTTATTTTTTTTTCTCTGAGATGTAATTTTAATGGTGGCAAAATAGGACTCTTTCGATGATTTGTAAAGATGTGAAGTTTGAACTGCTAAATGAATTTGTGGTTTTGATCTTTGCATATAATTCGCTTTATAAAAACAAGCGTCACTTTGTAGGCACTGGGAGATTATATATATGTATGTATACCCTCAAAATGGTTTGTTCACTTTTTAGAAATGCCTGTTTCTGGCTCTTAATGGACAGTGAATGGAAACCTTGGTGGTTTTTTCATTTGTTTCCTCCTTTAAAATTCCTCGAATGGATGTGTTTGCCGGAACAGGCCTCATGGCTCTGCTCTGGGAGGTCCCGATCTCCTTCTCTCTTCAGACGTGACCGCTGAATGGGGAGCGTGAAACTGACAGCGGGATCTCACAGGGTCCTCCGGAGACAGATTGGCAGCTACCCCACTTCCTGAAGTGGGACATACCTGGGGCGGGGAAGGGTAGCTGTGGTTCTGGGCGGCTTTTCCCCACTGTGGTTGGAAAGCATTGCAGCCCGGGTCGTAAAGCTGTGAATGTTTTTTACAGTTTTGTTCTCAGTTCCTAGAGATTGCTGGGGCAGGAGGGGGAGGGGGAGGGACTCCAGGAATGCAGCTGTGAGGGTGATGTTTCACTCTGATGTCAATGTGAATGTCCAGCTGAAGTGACTCAGCTTCATTTGACGCCTGAAAGTGCCTTGTCAATAAATTTCCACGTTTTGAAAAATAAATAAATATTTTTGTACACAATGTTAAAGGGGAAATGCACTTTAAAAATCACAAGAATGGATGTATTTTGTGTGGTATACAAGAGTGGTTTGTATTAAATGCAAAAACATAATAAAGGCAGAAAAAAAACACAATGAAACTGTTCTGTTTTCAAACTGCCTCTCTTTGGGGGGTCGGGCTGGGGAAAAAGTTTCAAACCATGTGTCTCCACATACAGAGCACAGTGTGCGAAGGGATGGATCCCGACTGGGGCTGAGCCAGCGAAGCTGTGAGGCGCGCAGAAGGGGTGGGGAACCGAGTTATTAGCTGTCCCAGCAGCTGATTAGAGCTCTGAAAATAAGTGCTGGCAAGAAGCACAGGGGCCAGCATTATTCTGAACCATTTATTTGTTTTTAATGTATATTTTATTTTTTAATTAAACTTAGTGGGGTGACATCCTACTTACTAAAAGAGTGATATGCAAATGAACCATCACTCCATTCCAGCCATGCCCACCAGCCAATCAGAGCAAGTATGCAAATAAACCCAACCAAGATGGCTACGGCTACAGAGAACAGGAGGGAGGCTTGGGTTTCTCTAGCAACGGAAGAAGCCAAGCTTTCCACCTGCCCTTGCTGGCCTAAGCCTCCACTCAAGGCTACAAAGTTTCAATTATAGAAGGTAAACAAATCCAAACAGAAATAGCGACAGCCACTTAGTGAGCAGGAGGCTTGGCTCCGCTCCAGGCTACAAAGTTTCAATTGTAAAAGGTAAATAAATTCCAGATAACAGGGCCTCTGCTTGGGTCACCAGAGGGTGTGGCCAGCTTGCAAACCACCACAGACCCTTCGCCCAGGCCGCCCCACACCCCAAGGGAAACCCAACTCTGATCCAGGACACCCTTCAGGACAAACCATCTGGCCCCCACCCATGCACCAGGCCTCTATCCTATCTAATAAAAGAGTAATATGCAGATTGACCATCACTCCAACACACAATAGCAGCCCCCATGTGGTCAAAGATTCTGCCCCCATGTGGACACAAGATGGCCACCACAAGATGGCCAGTAGGGGAGGGCAGTTGGGACAAACCAAGCCTGCAAGGGAGGGTGGTTGGAGGCAATCAACCCTGCATGGGAAGGCAGTTAGGGGTGACCAGGCTGGCAGAGGAGAGAAATTGGGGGCAAACAGGCTGGCAGGGGAGCAGTTAGACATCAATCAGGCTGGCATGGGAATGGTTAGGGGGTGATCAGGCTGGCATGCAGAAGCAGTTAGGGGCAATCAGGAAGGCAGGCAGGTGAGCAGTTGGGAGCCAGCAGTCCTGGATTGTGAGAGGGATGTCTGACTGCCCATTTTTAGGGATCAGGCCTAAATCGGCAGTTGGACATCCCTCAAGGGGTCCCA